TTACCACGAATATGGATATATTTTTTCAGAACTATAAACACAGAAACACTTAACTATGAACCCTGTTCAGCATCAAGAATATTGCAATACTGTTTCAGGACTATAAACACAAACCTCAGTTGTGAAGATTTTACACCACCATGAACATGACTATATATATCCTTTCAGAATTATAAACACAGAAACACTTGTTTGTGATATCTATTCAAACACCATGAACGTAATTATAATTACTCTAAACTATGTATGCAGGTGCACTTTGTTGTGAAGTCTGTTCAATACAACAAATGAACATGCCAAAATTTTCTCACAACTGAATGTATCTTTAGATACAACCTGTTATGAAGTTTGAGCAATACCACGAACACAGACTAAAATGATACACACATATATTGTAAAGACTACTTAATGTCATTAACGTGCCTGTAATTTTTGTGAAACGTGTATATTTTATCTGTATGAGCACAGGTTACTTCTTTATGATAAAGGAGAAAAATCAAAAATGAATAAATAGTCAATGCTAAGCATAAAATAAAAATGCTATTGATTTTACTTTAAAAAACATGATCTGTAAATTATTCAAATAAATATTATAATAATTACAATTCACTTATGTAATATGGTTCACACCATATTCATGATCTGTAAATTATTCAAATAAATATTATAATAATTACAATTCACTTATGTAATATGGTTCACACCATATTCATGATCTGTAAATTATTCAAATAAATATTATAATAATTACAATTCACTTATGTAATATGGTTAACACCATAACAGTTGTATCGTATCCCAGATGGCCTGATTAGACTTAGTATAGAACGAAAGTTTCGTCGGCACTCGATATGTAGTGTGTTTGACATACTATAATACATTCTCCTTTGCTTTCATTCGTGGATTCTTAGAACTACAGAGAACATAAAAAAAAAAGATTCTACCCATGAAGAATGTTAATTTTTACATCAGTAAACACCCAGAATGTGTCACAGAACACAATCCAATAAATGAGTTGCTAGAAAATCAATCTCCATTCTTCATTAATAACGTATTTTTGTATTTATGACCGCATGATGCCGTTTATTGACCAATTATGTTAAAGTATTATACAACCCTAAAATAAAAAATATAATACCTGTTGAAGAAATGCGATAATGATAACAATAATAAGTACAGACAGTATCAAATAATCGTCCATTTATTCAGGATTTATTTATATTAAAAACATGAAAATAAAGAGCCATTGAGAGCAAGAAGATAACATAAATCAATAACATTTAATTTTTCCTAGATCAAATATTTCGCATTCCACAAGCACAAAAATATAAAGATTGAAAACAAGTATCGCGATATAGTACTAGTGAATTCAGCTGAAATAATACACTGATTAAGGACGTTAAACTTACAAATGTTGACTAGAGCACTTTGCATTATTAAACACGTTTGATTGTTCATCAAGTGGACTTATACACAATAATTACTTGGAGACTACTTAGTCACGCTAGTAATGCTGATTGGTTATGCTTTCCTGGATGTTTTTCTCGTCTTTCCGAACCTAGAGAATCACTGAAAAGAGCGCCAAACGAAGCTCGAATGCAGGAAACTACCTACAACCTAACCAACGCTTTAGAGTTCAATAGTGAAATAATATACAGTTTATAAGTTCCCAGAAAAACTAAGGGGGTGGATCGTTGAAATGAGGGGCAGGTATTTGTACTATGTCTTAGTGTATAATAAAACCAGCCCTTCACCGCCAAGACTGATCGTCATGCCGTGAGCAACGCTTTCATTATTACAAAGGTGGCATCCAATGACAGGAGGCTTGTGATTCGGTAAGTATATTCAGGAACACGCCCCTCTTTTTCACTCCCTATTACTCTCAACTTTTTTTTCTCTCTATCGCCCTGTTTTAACCTTTGACTTACCATCTTCCACATTCCTCTTTGTCCTCCAAATCTATTTTTACTTGTCCTTCTGCATAGTTACTTTGCTGTGTGTTTTCCCTACCCTAGTTTATAATAATATCTTCTTTCTCCTTCAGTGCTTCGATTCTTCCCCAGTTTCTTCTTTCTCAGCTTCCTGTATGAGCTAGGAGCTGTATCTGTACAACTTACAAACGTAAACTCTTTCACGAATAGTTTACCTTTATGCACACAACACAATAACGTTTGAATACATAACGAACCTTACAATTCATCGTCATATGTTAGTAAAATAAATGAGCTGTTTTTCAAACGTAAAACTACAAGTCAGGAATATATAAACAAATTTCTTACGTGCTTTCTAAGAACTAGTTGTTTTCCTAATTACACACAGAGACGAACATGACGTCACCAGGGATAATTTATTTTATCATTCCTTATAGAGAAAAAAAAAAAAGTTTCTTAAATATTAGAGCGTGGTAAAACTGGAAGTTCTCTATCTTATCTACAAAAGTATGCTGGAAAATATTCTTATATATTTTGTGAAACTGGAAGTTCTCTATCTTATCTACAAAAGTATGCTGGAAAATATTCTTATATATTTTGTGAAACTGGAA